AGCTACAACACGCGAATCCAATTTCACCATGGTGAATTTTTCAGAACGTTTGAAAACGTTTGCTTAACAGGGACGTCTCTGGTTACAGCATCGCGTTTTAATTGCCTTTGAGATTTAATTTAGAAAAACATTCTTATATTAAATTATTCGAATACGGTTAATTGCAAATGAAATCGCGCGCCTTTTCTAAAAATATTAACGAAAAGTAAAATTTTAAACTTTAAGGTACAAATTGATTATATAAATAAAAACCGATCAAATTTTCGCTATTAATAATTGCGATCGATAATTATACGTGACATCCCAGTTATTTTACAAAGGATATATTAATTTTTCTGAAATTCTTTTGTATGAAGCGAAGAACGATTAAATATTAGACCAATTTCAATCTCATCGTTCTTGCCACAAGAATCATTTTCATTCTATCCTCGAATCCCGTATTCCATTATTTTTGAAAGTTCGAACCGTATAAATTCGTCCACGTGTTCGATAGAACGACGAGTAATTGCGTGTGTACATTTAAATCGGGCATGCCACGAGGTTGAAGCTTCCTGCATCTTGATAGACGAGAGCGCATCGATCGTACGAAAGCGGAGAAGCCGGTGAGCATCGACCAACCAACCTAAATCCAGCTCACTGCGCTCGAGCACGCCAACTTTACAGCTTTCGCCTTTCAGACGCGACCGATTTCTCGTTCTCCAGTTATACGTTATCTAAACATCTGCTTCAACACTATCCTGTCGAAACTAATTCGTTATCTTTCGCAAGGGACGAAAATATTTAGGGAGAAGTTTCATTTCACGATTCGATTCCTTTGTTTCGTTCCATTGTTTGCGTGGAAGTAAAGGAGTAAGGAAATAAATTCGTGCAATGATTAGAATATTACTCTCAGTTTTTAAAAATTTTTTGATGTTTGTCATCCAATTTGGACACGTTTCTTTATTATTAAGTCTTTTTTTGCAACATTGGATGTAATAATTCATTCTTAAAATAAACGAAATTCCATTTAAAAAATATTATTTTTGATAATTGTGTAGCTATTTCAAATCGTATATCTATCTCTTTTCATTTTATATTCATGAATAAAAAATAACGGAATTATATTCAAAGTTTGCAAAGAGCTCTTTTACTCGAGATGCAAATATCTCACGATTCGTTGAAAAATAATGTTATATTATATATATATATCATTTTTACGTGAAATATTTTTATTGTTTCGAAATAAACTTGCTCGTCTTGTGTTTTCATTCATTCACGTTTCATATTTTTGCATAACTCGTAAAATTACGTAAAATTAAATGAAACAACCTATGAAAAATTAAAAAATCACCACCGAAACATTACGAATTAAATTTTGAAAGGCCATTTTTGATGATAATATTATTATTTACAATTCGAAAATAAAATAAAAAAAAACGCGTGTATAAATGCGATAAATGTGAAATTATTCTTTAAAAATTTTGACCAGAAAAAATGGATAAAAGAAAACATAAAAGATAAAATTATTTTATTCAAATATTAAATGATATTGTGAAAAAAATTGCATCAGAAAAAATTCTTGGATAATTTGTACAAGAGAGAGGATAAAGTTAAAAACGATTTTATTCTTATAACAGTTCCATGTCACTGTTATATTATACTGCAACACTTTGTTCGTTTATTCTCCATCGTGATTCACGCATCATAAACTCTCACGGTTTAATGTGTCAACTCGTTATTTTTGGACACAGCTTTCTAAATATATTTCACGTCAATGAATAAAATGACGATACAAGCAATATGGAAAATTCATTCATCGTTTCGTTTGTTAAAAATTAAAGAATGAAAAGTTAAAGGTGGATGAATTCGAATTTAATTTTTAAATTCTCGAATCCAAAACTTTGTAAGATTTGTTTGAATCCTGAATTTTTAAAAATAATTAATTATTTTATAAATTTTTCAATTTTGCAAATTCAAGGAATAAAATTAATATTAATGTTAATTCTAGAAAATTTAGATTATTCGTTTTTAAAATTATTCGTCCTATTGTTTTTTTCATTTTTATCTACTAATTTTATTGTCATATTCTATTATTGTAATTCAGATTCACGTTCTAATATTTAAATTGAAAAAAAAAGAATAAAATAGAAAAGTAATAAAGATATATAAAAGAAAAACTTGATATGTAATTGAATATATAATTTTACAAATTAAGAGGAAAATTAATAATTCGTGAAAGGAGATCTTGCAATCTGATCGGTAACAAAGACGAGGAAATAAAAATTAAATCAAGAAGAAAAGTTGTGTCCAGAGCTAATGAGGTAATATATCTGGACCAAGTTTAATTATAAACCATAGGTAGCAAAAATATAAAAATAATAATACAAAAATATGGAGAAAAAATATGTGAAAAACAAAACGAATAATTTATTTTTTTTTTTTTGATAAAAATAAATATTTAATTATTACATAAAAGAGAGAATCACGCCTAATGTATATTTTTCCTTACTGTACAAAGTTTTTTATCCGATGAAGTTACAAATTGAATGTCTAAGATTTCGTTTTCCATCTTTTTCTTTTCGATAAAAAATTATTTGTATTATATCGAATATTGATATTTGCATTTCATTTAGAAAACTTTCTGCCATTATAATTTCTGATATCATCTTCAATTACGATAAATTTCATTTTATTTCCTACAAATTTGTTCTGTACAATTTCAACTTTTGTCGAAAAGAGTAATAGAAAATACAAAGAATTTATCAGCTTGAAAAAATACATCTTTTTAAACTGGAAATATCGAAAATAAGAAAAAACGAGAATGTATTCACTAATTAGTGAAAAAATACGAACCGCATAAAGATAACCCTTGTACAAAATTATAAAATGCAAACTACGTTTTATAATATTTGCTAAACGAATGAAATTCGCGTTATAATTAATAAATATTTAAACAAACATCAATATCGTTGCTTTAATGCGCGAATATACTGATTTTATCGTTCACGTCGATGCACCTCTCCGTTACACATATCGACATATCTTTATTAACATTTTCTCACGTTGAATGAATAAATGAGCAAACATTCGCACCTATACTTTTCCAAAAAAAAAAAAAATGAGATCTCTAGACTCATTGTTAATAAAATTAAAAAAAAGAAAATAGAATTATTTATTAAGTGATTACTTCTTCGCTCTATTCTGTAATATTAATAGTTCTATTATTTTCAAATTTAGTTATAAATACAATTTCCCAAGATTTTGAAATGTTAGTTTAAGATTTACTTAAAACATTCATCTAAAATTCATTCAAACTCTCAGCAACTCGAAGAGAAAATTCCTTTGTCTCATTAAATTATTCATTATCAAATTTAAAATCGAAATTCAAGTTATTACGATCATGATTTTTATAATCTTTTCGAAATATAAATACGAAAATATTCAAGATCATTAGAAAATTTAAGTGCGTTCTTTTTTAAAAAAAGAGAGAGAAAGAAATAGTAAATAGTAAAAATGAAATTGAAATAATTTATCAATGCAATTCGTGCGTGATACACGATTGCATTGATTGCCATTCTCGCGATATTAATAAACCCGTGAACATTCATTCCAATCGAACAATGAGTGATAACGAAAAGATCTCGTTAAAAACGATCGTGCCTGCCTCGAATATTTATATTACGAGAACGAAATTGATGGTTAAACGTGGAAAATTTCCCGTGATAACAGAGTATTTTTGTTCGTTTTATTGATCAAATGTTTTCTTAACTGGAAACGAATAATTATAAAATATTTCTATAATATATACTTAATTATAATATATTGTTTAGATGTAATGTTTGAAAATTAACTGGAAAATTAAAATTTTTTTCTCTTACAAGAAACTAATAAACAATCGTTAACGAGAAAATTAAATGTTTCTTGATATTTAATACTTCTATATTTTGATGAAATATTACGAACCGATTAATATACAGCGATGAGAATAAAATAGATTGAAATAATTCACGATATCAAAATTTTGTGATATTGAACAATGATTAACGAGTACTTTGAAATTTCAGTGAACAAGTTTTTGAACAAAAACGGGAAATTTCCACTTCATTAGTTTCTTTGTTATAAAATTCACTATCAGCTTTGCTATCTATGAAACTGATTGCTATATTATTATTACATTTATGTATTTATAAATGAAAATTTACTATTTTCCAGTTATTCTTAATCTGTGAATATTATAATACTCGGATAATAATGGACAATTGTTTCAAATATAATTATATTATTCTTCACGAATAATAAAATTATAAAATTTATCTAAAATTTTTAAACCATCGATACATTCTGTTAATTTTAAAATAAAGTTGAAAATTGAGAATTGCAGCTTTTCGTGCCAAAATTGGTTATCTTTCGCTTTTCTCAAATATATAAAGTTTCAAAATCATAAATGCATCTTTCAAACAGTCTCAAAACGAAGTTGAAAGTTTTTGAAATAATAGCACAGCTTTCAAAGTCAAAATTGGCAGTGTTTCGCATAACATCGCGTGTCTTTTCTCAAATCTATCTAAAATTTCGAAATCATCGATATATTTCTGCAATCTTAAAACGAAATTGAAGCTCTTTGAAACACTAACACAGTTTTTTATGTCAAAAATAACAATCTTTTATGTAACAACGCGTCTTTCCTCGTGTATCTTTTCGATCAAAATTCGAAACTCTTGTAAAATGATTACTTTTTTGAACTACAACTTTTTTGAATTAAAATTAACCACACAATTTTTCCGTGTTAAAATTTCCTTTTAGAATTAAAGTTTAGGAATTTTTTTAATAATTTTATATCGTATTTCGTATATTTTTTGACATTATTTAATCATGATAATACAACTATTGATGAGCTCGATGAATCTGACATTTTGCTTTGAACACTTTGAAAAGATGCGATATTATATGAGAATTATCTTCAGTTTTTTAATTTTGAAAGTAAATTACATTGTCGTTAATAATGTAAATTTATGATTTTTCAGGCACTTCGATACGACAACAAACGAAGAGTTGGAGAGCTGAGCACAAAGCTGCGAGGACGCTCGGAATAATAATGGGCGCATTCCTTCTTTGTTGGCTGCCATTTTTCCTTTGGTAAGCACCAACAACGAGTCAGTACTTTGATAATGACTCTAATTTTCATTCCAACAACTATTCCTTTATGTTCGATTACTATTTTTATTAAATATTTTTATTAAACAGGAGGATTCGAGATATACCAAGAAAAAAACAAAAAATAGAACAAAATATTGAGAAATCACGAATAATCCATACAATCTCTCGATTCATTTGTATATAATTATCTTTTTACTTTTTTAATTTCGACCAAAAAAGAAAAAGAAAAAGATTTATTATAACTGTACGAATTATACAATTTCTCTTTCGTAGAAAATTTATTCTACACACAAATATTTCCATAATATTCTGCTTACTTCCACCCTTTCGCTAGGATCCCGTCATAAGAGCAAGACAGAAAAATCCTGGATTCGCGTACGAACGAGTTTTGCCAGATGCAAGCTGTTCACCGAGCTTTCGTTTCATCGACGAACAAGTTTCCAGAGTCGGTGAATACTCGCGAAAGTCGAGCCAACCGCATGTATTATTAATGCAAACTCGAACCGCGTGTATCAAGTTTATCGCGAGTTTTACCCATCTCCTCGCGTCGAATCTAACTATTTGCTTGACTAAGCGATGCGATTGCACCGTTTTCCCCCAAGAAATATCCTTTCTTAGCGATGGGAATAACGAGGAAACCACCGATCCTGAATATTTCAAAATTCTCCATAATAGATGCACGTTGCCACGCGTTTTTACGCGTACATTATGCATTTCGTCCTGTGAAATTTCGATTTATCGTGGATCCTCTTTAATAATTAATCCCATTTTGTTAGAGAAAAGTCACGAGAAGAAATTTTCCTCTACGTAAATTTTAAATTCTTTTAAAGAGGATAAAATTTTTAGAAATAAGTGGTTGGTAAAATTTTCCACTTTGAACTACGTCTTGTCGAACACGTTGAATAAATAATGTAAATATATATTGCAGGATATTCTCTCGATCCAAAACACTGTTTGCAAGTTTCGTTTTAAAAGTAATACGAACATGAAAACTTTGATCGAATTTTGTTTTTATAAATTTCTTTCGAACGAACCATAAAATTACTTGAACGTACAACTAAATACAGGATTAATATAAAAAAATATAAATATAAAAAGTAATATATCTATTATATAACATCTTAAAGAATTTTAAAACACCTAAAGGCATTCTTTAACAAAAAAAAAAAAAAAAAAAAACTAAATTTTGAATACCGAATTTTTAAAATTTTTACAAAATCACGATAGAAAAAGTTCACACGGAAAATTAAATTGTTCAAACGTATAATATCTCAAAAAGTGTGTTCGAACTTTTGTTTAAAAGCGAATATTTCGCGTAATATATATTCCAAGTTAATATAAATTGTCCTTTTCGCACACTCTCCGAGGAATAATTCAGAAGTAATATTCTGAATAAAAAAAAAAAGATACCGCCTATTAACAATAAATCATACCCATATTTCCAACTACTGTGCAGAAAATATTTATTTTAAAGACGACACATTTCGAAATATACCATGGTCCACAAACCTGAGTCCAATACCATGCCGAGTTAATCGAGCTGTACGAGCTTATGATTTATGGCGATCACCGTATATGCCGCGAATGCACAATAATGTTCGTCACATACTTATAAATTGTTTCAAAATTTTATATATATTATTTTTCTTCGATATTTTTGCTGAAATTGCTCGCTATTGAGAATTTGTATTTCATATCGTTTCATTCATTTCGACAAATTAAAAATTATAGATAAACGTAACAATGTAATATTACACGTGTGTATATTATCTTACAAATTTCTGATTTTAACGAATGTGTATTTTTCTTTTCGCGAATTAACGACAGTTACATCTAAAAAAAAATATTATAATTATAAGAATAATAATCATCGAGATAGTTTATAAACAATTTAGAAATGATAGTTAATAAAGATAATATTTGAGGCAAGACTTATAATTTTTCAGTTGTTTCAATGCGTTCATTGGAAAGGAACTTCTTTTACGCAATTACTAAATTTGTTCGTGGAAGTGGTACTTATTCTTTAATTATTTCATTGCTCTAATTATTTTTTTCCGGGAAATATTTCATAATTCCTTAAACGTTTCAATGTTATATTATTAATTTACAGAGAAACAACTTGATTGTTTTTTTTTTTTTTTTTAATTCATCTTTCATTTAATCGTGGATAAAATACACGATTGTTTAATTTGTTCAATTGTTTATTTCTCAATAAAGATTCACGATTCCTCGATTACTTCGTTGCTTCGTTTATTCGTTTATAGGAGAATCTGCTGCTCATTGTCTCTCATTGTTTAATTGTTCTTTTTTGTTTGATCTTTCATTCGATTATCCTTTCTTTTTCTTTTTGAAATTTTAAACGATCTTCATTTACTGTAGATTATAAGTCTAGATCTAAGTCTTTTCTTTTATATTTGTGACATTTAACGAATAATCTATACATCTAAATACGTATACAATAAGAGAAGAAGAACAAAGTTCTTTTATACCGTTCTCAATCTTCTACTAACATTTAATAACATTTAGTAACTTTGTTGTTTTAACTTTGTTTAAAAAATAATTCTTTTTGAATGGAACAAACTTGGAAGAAATTTGATTTCTTATTACACGTTTGTTAAATTACAGTTTATAAAGCAGACGAAATATAAAGTTCGCAAGAAACTCGGCAGTAAGATTAATCTCTTCTACTCGATAAACGAAAAGAAAATCTTGAACAAGAAGCAAAAGTTGTACTCGATCATCGTAATCGACCAACTTGGCCGCACTCGCTATTTATTATATTCGCATCGATACGATATATTATAAAAACGAATAGAATCTGTACAAACTATCGAGAAACTTTCTCACGATAAGGATGATCCGCGTTACTCTCATCTTAATAAACAATGAAGAATTATGTTCAAAGTTTCGTGAATTTATTTTCGAGAATGTGAATGGAACTATCATCAAACTGTAATCAATCTTAAAGATGGAGCAAGAAGCTGAGTAACGTAATACGGTAATAATTTTGTTTCTGAAGTCATTTGGCTCCAATTCGTACTTCCAAGTTTATTTCAACTGTAAATTCAACGCGGTCAACGATTTTCATTTATAAATATTAAATATTAAAATGTTATACGAACTTAATATAGCAACAAAGTCTTTATTTTTCTCTTATTTCCAAACAAAAATTAAATTTGTATAATGAAATATTAAATTAATAGATTTGGAAATAATGATGGAATGAAATTTACTTGCGGTGATGTTCTGTCAGTGAAAAAATTAAATCCTTGATGCAAAAATATTCTTTTATAAAACTAATTCTATCTTTATCTTTTCAACTCTTAAATATACTAATTAAATCGTTGTTTTGTACTTGATAAAAAATTGTTTAAAATTTCCAATCTTCGCGAAATTACAATCTCTTAATAACGTAAACCACAAGCTCGAATAAATGTTGCTTAAAAGAAAAATAACGATTTCGAATCACCATTTACTTCAACTACAATTATTATTTTTCAGTTCAGAAATAACATAAAAGAAGTAAACGTAAGATAAAAAATAATCTATGAATAAATTTGTTAAAACGCAAGATAAAGATAATATTTAAAAAAAAATATATAATTATGAAGTTAACATCTTTGATATCTTTATAAAAATACTTCTATAAATAAAACGAGGAAATAAAAGAATAAATCTCGTTTCGTTTGTCAATTTTCAAAACATTAACCTACGCGAAGAAGCGAATCCATTCTAATCCGAACATCCGCGAGAACATCAGAGAACTTTTTACCGGAGCGATGAATTCTCATTTATACCGTCAGAGCAACGTTTCGAGTTTGTGGACAATTTTTTAATTAAAATGGCAGAACGTGACCGCAACGTTCCTTCGAATCAGTTTCCATTTCTGGCTCATGGCGCATCTCTCGAAATGAATTTAAAAGATTGTCTTTCATACCGTGAAAATTCGATACGAAACATGATATGAAAAAAATATAAAAAATAATATTGTCGCCGATCAAAGGCAAAAACAATAGAAAATGAAGTGCTTCGAGAATGGCAATTTCTAGATGAAAAGTGTTACATCTCTTCTCTTTTTCTTTTTTGATCAATGTGATATAGAATCGCGAATTATTAAATTTAACACATTCAATGAACCATGAAAAATTGAAAGAAACGAATATCAATCGTAAGAAGAGCCAATTACAAAATATTATGCCAATATATTAAACTCATATTCAAAACTCAACTCAAAAAAAGGAAATTTAAATATTTAAAAACAATTCTTCCTTTCGTCTTTCACATTTCTTGCAAATGTATTATCCGTCTATAGAATAAAAAATCCTAAATCCTTCATCCTCGCATCTAAATTCGCATCATCCATATTGAATTAATTTCCTGTAAACATTTGATGCAATGAGATAAATATTTCACAGAAGAAGAAGAAGAAGAAAAGAAAAGAAAGTTTTAATTTTACCATGCTCCTAAAATCCATCAATCCTGTTTCTTTTCCAGGTATCTAACCACGTCCTTGTGCGGCGAGGCCTGCTACTGTCCAGACACGGTGGTGTCCGTCCTATTCTGGATAGGTTACTTCAACAGCGCCCTGAATCCGCTTATTTACGCGTACTTCAACCGCGACTTCCGCGAGGCCTTTAAGGACACGCTGAAGAGCGCCCTCCCCTGTTGCGCCAGTTGTTGGAAAACACCGTCGCAATTCGTCTAGCGAGAAAAACCCCCGTGAATAATCGCGTCGAGCAAATTGTTTCTTGCGATCCATTGGGAATATCGGTATCTGCTCGTTCGCCCAATGATTCGTCCAACTCGATTTGGTAAACATCGTAAAAATAAACCTATCGAGTTCGTTTGTTACAATTGTGATTCGATTCCCTTTAGAGACGAACGAAAGAGGGTGTAGTTAAAGGTAATGGAAGAATCTTTTATAATATATGGAGTTTCGTATGATGGGGAAATTTGAGATGTTGATTGTATGAACACGAAAAGTAAGATTCTGTTATTTTCCCGTTAAAATTCGTGCACGTATGAATTGACAAATAAAATCGAATCTATAAATATGTTCATCTATGAAAATCCAATAAGGCGAGAATTCAATGCAATTCGAATAAAATATTCCGATTAATATAAATATTATTATATTTATTTATTAGATAGTACTTACTTATAATTGTTCATCATAGAATATCATTTTATATATCTTATTTTATACATGATCGAAACTATATTTATTTATTAAAATCATGGACAAAATTAAAAAATAAATAAATTAACGAATAAAATATCTGGCTAGAACAAAATATTTATCTTATCATCAAAGGAGGGAATAAAGAATAATTTGAAAAATTATCAAATATTCGTGAAAATATTCTATAATGCTAGTTTTATGTTATCTATTTGATTTTGTTAGGAATTATGTTTTAGAAGGAAAAAAAATAGGATAAATTTATAGTGGCTGTATAAAAGTTTTAATGTTTCCGGCAGGTAGATAAATATTGTCGCTTTAGTAAAATTCAAAAGTTGGAACAGTTTGTTTCTGTATTTTATTGCTTTGGACAAACATTTTTCTTTTATACCTTGATAAATAAATATCTGCATTGTTCTACTTTTAGTCTAAATATTCGAAATAATTTTCATCAGAATTATGAGAATATTAATATCATGAAAATATTTTAAGATAAATATCTTATGTATACTCGATAATTATGCCTAAACATTTTTTTTTTTTCTTTTATTATTCTAATCTTTCAAAAAATTTGAAAATATTCCAGCATATTTGAAAAAATTTACAGTTCTTCGTCGAGTCAAATTTTTACCGTAGAATTTTAAAATTTGTGTTAATAAAAAGCGTCCAATATTTAAAACTTTAAAAAAAGGAATGAAAATTTTGAAAAAAATTCAACAACAAAATTTTGCCACTAATGGTTTACTCAGTTTGGCTACGGAAAATTACGCTCTTGTAGTTTCATTTAAAATACAAAACTAACATTATAATTTTATTATAATTCCAACTTTTGTTCTAAATTAATCTAAAGTTAAATATTCGATGCTAAAAATGTGGTTTTATACTGAAAAATCTACCATTTACGCTAAATTATGAAACAAAAATTTTTAAATTCACAACCTATTTTAATATAAAAAAAAACAAACAAAGAAACAATTATCTATCTATTATTTTTAAAAATTACCAATTAAATATATTTAAAGTTGCCTTCAAAATGAATTTTTTGAACAAAATAGAACAATTATCTAAAATTTCTTCACCGAAAAAAATTCAATTTGATCATATCACACGTGCACGATTGAGAATATACGATTTTTCAATTTAAACTTGATACAAACGAACGAATTTTCTTGTATATTTATTATTACCAACATTTTGATGATTTCATCCTATCAAATTTTATAATTCCTATGAAACGTTAAAGTTTTGGCTTTACAGCGATTGAAAATCAATTATCACTAGTCTTTGATGTGTTCCAGAAATATTCGCAAACTTTGTGATAACTATCCGACAACTCAAGTGCAAACAAAATCAATTGATCCGTATTGAGCTTTATATTCGCGAACACTGGCCGTTCTTGTCGATAAAATTGATCAAGATCGAGCTGCCGTCTCGGTTGGACGATCTATCAATGCCGCGTTAATTAATCAGGAAATCCGGGGCCGTTTGAACTTTGTGAAACGTTCAGCGCGAAGAACGAGTGCAACGTGTTGTATCACAGACTGATATTCATGCATTTCTCGACTCGAATCGAGCTTATTCTAGATACTTTTTGCCTGTGGATCGCAATCAGCTTCCCCGTTACGGTCGCTTTCCTCGAATTCACGAAATTCTGGAATTTAATAGATACGCGGGAATTTTGATTATTGAATCCACGAAGCGAAATTACAGCGAAAGGTTCAAATATTTGACAGTTTAATTTTATTGATACGTTATAATATACGATAATATATTAATATGTTAACGCGATTTAACGTGATACAGAATTCACCAAGATATCGTTTCATTCTTAAAAGATACTTTTTGCTATCGCGTTCTGCTCAGAATATTTTGGTACCTTCTTTCAACAAAATTTTGTTTAATAAAATACAGAGAGAATACAAAAAATAATGCACAATTACCCAAAGATATTAAATTTTGAAAGGGCACCATTCAAATAAGAATTAAAATTTTTCAATTTTATTAGAAATCCTCGTTATCTAATTGTTCTAAAAATAATAAAAGTAGCCTCGCTCGATTTGAAATTCCTCTCCATTTCCAAAGTGTCGAAATGTTTTTACGGCTACTAGGAAACCGAATCTCGCCTCTTGGGTTCAATGGCACGTATTAAAGGGGATTCGAAGGATTCGACGTGCAACCGGAAGCTCATAAACGAATTCGCTGGTTAGGCGAACGACGCGGTCATCAACAGTAAGCGGAAACGAGGGGAGAATGACAAGTATTCTTCTGTATGTCTTTCGCCGGCACGCAACGAAATTGCAAATTTTCACGATTGATCACGTGCCGGAAAGGCATCGCCCCCTAAACGTTAAATCTTTACGGATGGGCCAGTTAAATTGGAATCTTGCACGCTGTTCATTTCTCAATTATAGTTCATCACGACTTCTCTTTATAATCTACTATAGCAGATTTCAAGAATTGTCTCACTTCGAAAAACGTTTTCTTTTTTCTTTTTATTCTATTCGTAATTATTTTAAAAAAGAAATTTAAAACATATTTTATTCAGTTTTTTGTTGCGATTTCAAAGGGAATTTTTAAAAATTAAATTGCTCGTATTGCTTGTAACATATATATTGAATCTTTTTCTTCGTTTCTCGAAATATAAACATTTCAAATTTGTGTTTCAATGAAATTGTCTTCCAAAAAAATAATGTGATTTTTGAAAGTGATGCATCAATTTTTAATTTTATTTTGGTAATTGTTTCAGTGAACAACGAATTAATAAAACGAATTAATATTTTAATAAATTGTTAAAAATAATTTGAAATATTAAGTTTATGTTTACCCGATCTCGAATTAATCAGATATGGAGGGAAAATCAGTGTGCAAGATTCTTACGCGTTCACTTTGTAAATAAATTGTCAGTCGTAAACGTAGGTTAAAAGCAAACAGTGCTATCTAGATGTAATTAGACAAGAACAAAAGCTGTATTACCTGTAATGCGATACTTATTAAAAATGAGATTGTTGCGAAAAAAAGAAGCGTTGTGTTAAATAAAGAGAGAAAAACAAAAAAGAAAAAAAGACAGACGATCACGCTCACCCTCTCATAATTTTGAAATAGTTTTCAGTCAATTCGAAATTAGATTCAATCAGGTCGATTCTGGTGGACAAATTGTACAAATAAAATTGATCTTAATTTTATAAACAAATATTGTAAAACGATCAATCCGTGCGTCAATTATTTTTCTTGTTAAAAATCCATATTTTAATACCATTCGAATATACCTATATATAGAATGTTTATAAAAATGTGAAGCATCTTTCCAAAGTGAATTCTAGATATCGATAAAATTCATATAAACATATGTGCATTAAGATTTACCTAACGAATCATATTTTAAGTTCGAATGAAATGAAGTAGAATCAAAATTGTTTTTCTCTATTTCCTATTTCCGCTTCGTTTAACGCAAACTTAAAATACAATTCGTTAACTTAACATATATAAATTTTCTTTACCTGTTTTGACATTTAGGATCCATTTTTCAAAGTTGAATTTTGCATTTTTATAAACATTTTGTATATATAGAAAACTTCACAATTAAATTCGTTTACATTTAACAATTTATAAAATGTACTGTTTCGCTCGTAAATTAAACTCCAATCTCTCTCTTGATCACTACGATTTGTTTACTCCTTTAAGATCCGATATAAAAAAAAAAAAAAAAACTTATTTCATTTCACGATTTTTCAAAAAAATACGATAAAAATAAATAAAAAAAAAAAAAAATATCAATCGAACGATTTGTTACCAGCAACGGCAAAACTACATAATGAAAGGTTGAATCGCACTAAAAACGATCCATGGAGCAATTTAGACATGATACGAGGGATCAAGTTTTCGCTTGGTTCCGCATCAAGCGTCACGCCCACCATTTTCTTTCGTGGAGAATAGTCGAGTCGAGTTTTTCTAGAACAAGAGGAACGAGAGAAAATGGTAAAAAGGAAAAAAAAGAAAAATCGCGAACGCTTCACTTTTTATTCGTACGGCCTATTGTACGCGTCTAGACTGTATAAATGTACCATAGCAATAATTATTAACGAGAACTGTAAATACATTTGGCGACGAATAATTTTTTCTCGCGAGTGCAAAGGTGTGTCGAGTGTGTGATCTCGCTGTTTTTGTAAGTGACCACGATCATCGTGTCATTTCGTGTGCGGCGTGTGTGTTACATGTTGCTTACGTGTACACAATCCACCCTTCAATCCACGTCCCTAAGAGCGACTCATTTATTATTATTATCATCGTCATCGTCATCATCATCGTGACCATCATCATCATCATTATCATTATCATGTTGCCATCGTCCAATAATCGAGCAGATTGAATAGGTTCCCATGTGAAATAATTTGTAGAAATAATAGATTTTTTGACCGTCGAGAGGAAAACGTGAATGGTTTTTCATATGTCAGTGACAGCTGTCCGAATAAATTTTCAACCAGTGCAAAAACTCTCTGTGGAATTGGTGCATGCGTGATTAATCGATGGTACACTACGTCTCCATCTACGAAAGTCTCGATTAATGACGCACGATTGCGAATTGAAATACGATGTAACACGTTTGTACGCAAAGTTGTTGGATAAAGTCTAACTATTGGAAAAATAAAAATAGAGAAATAACGCATATTCTATGGTATTACATTATTGTTCGCACAAAGTTTCTGATAATTGAAAACGAAGCAATTTTGAAGAATTTTGGATCGATTGCTCGTTGTTTCTTTTTGTCTCTATATTTTTTAATTTTATTTTTTAATTTATTTATTGAGATTTTTAAATCTTAATATCGTGGAACGTATTATGAATCTTTTGCTAAATTATTTTAAAAAGTTTAATCAGCAACAATGCAAGTGATATAGTATTTTAAACGTGTTTTTTTTCTTTTTTCAATGACACATTTAAGCGTAAAAATTGTTGGCTTTACTCGATGGAACGCTGTCACTGACCTAACTAAATATCATCGGTCGCTTCTCGTTTCGCTCGAATTTCCGATTAATCCTATCTGTTCGAATTGTCCGATAATAACACACACCTACAACGCCAATCGTTTCGATATCGATATTGA